CTCAATGCTATTTAGAAGAATTTACAAATTTTTCTTTTCAATTAACATTTTTTTAGCAACAATGACACACCTAATTGCGTTTAATTACAGTAAAAGAATATTAAAATAAAAATTCTTTCGATTTAGACATTTTTGCTTTTTGTACGTAAAAATAAAATTCAATAATCTGATTTGAGAAAAAAAGTTTTTGTGATTTAGAATAAAATCTTTATTTTATAGAATTATTCATTTAATCGATTTTTTTTCTTCAAAAATACAAATGTAAATATGAACATATGTTTATAATATAAAATTGTGTTAATTATTATTAAACAAACAAATTTATTATCCATCAACAAACGGCACCTATAGATATAAAATGGCATTAATAAAAATTGATTGGCTTATAAAAAAAAAGCACACATCAGACAGACAAACTGACTGACTGACTGTTATTATTGTGTGATCTCTTTTCTCTGTGTGAGATTATCTATCATTAATTCGATCCATATATATTTCTTCTTCAAAACAAAAAAGATAAACAAAAAATGGCTCTCTGGGGTAATTGTAAAGAAATATTTCCTATCATATTAACTTTCAAACCTAATATTTCTAGAACAAGGAGGTGGTAGTGGTTTTCAACAACGAAAAGCTGGAGGTGAAAATGATGCTAATAATGCACAAGTACGTATTTATAATAGATAAATATTCAATGATTAAAAAAAAAAAAAAACAATATAATTTTTTTTTGTTAAATAGCGTTCATCAATTAAAGGTGTATTAACATGTACTATTGCAACTATTCTTAATGCAAAACATTCCGAATCGGATAATTGTTTTATTTATAAACATTTAAAATTTAATACAGTTATGATAATGGGTTTAATACGTGAAGCAAATCATGAAGTAAATGGTAGTTTAGCTACATATAATATTGATGATCATTCCGGTGGTTCAATTGAAATAAAATGGTGGCATGATGTAACAAAATTTTTCTATTAATAAATGAATAAAGAAATATGTTTTATTTTTTGATTGTTTAGGATTCTGGTGAACCAATAAAACCTTTAACTTATGTAAAAGTTGTTGGTCAAGTTAAAACATTTGCTGGTAAATCACATGTTGTTGCACATCATGTTAGTAAAATGCATTCATTAAATGAATTAATTGCTCATAATATTGAATGTATACATGCAAGTATATGTATTCGTAAACAAGGTGAAACTGTATGTTCAATATAAAACAAATAATATTTTATTCTATATTAAATTTTTTTATTATATAATTAGAGTGGAATGAATATGACAAAAACTACTAATAATCCCGGTAGTACTCAACAAGCATTAACAACATCTAATGGATTTACACCAGCACAAAATGCAGTTCTTAATCTTTTAAAAACTGTAACAACAATGGCTGGTTATAGTGTAACTGAAATATGTAAACAATTAAAACAATTTAGTGAAAATCAAGTAAAGTAAGTTTTTTGGAATTTCTTTTTTTGTTTTGTTTTCTTATATTGCTATTAATTATTTAGACAAGCATTAGAATTTCTTTCTGGTGAAGGTCATATTTATTCAACAACTGATGATGATCATTTTCGTGCTGCAAGCAATAATTAACAAAATTTATTTTTCTTTGTCAGATAGATCAGATATATATATATTCATATATTGACTTATTATTATGATTCAGACTTATTAAATAGATTTCAAATAAAACAAAAAACAAAAGTTTCTATATGATTTCAGATATAAAGAAAAGAAATCATGGATCTTGATCCAATGATATCAAGTTCACAAGAAGATTATTCTTATTCAGATTATGATAATCGACCTATTAGACCAATGAATCAAGAAGCACTTAATGAAACACTTGCAAGATTACCTATACTTATTGATGAAGATGATTATAATAATCGAACTAACGGTAATCCTGATACAAATACAAAGTATTGAAATTTATAAAAAATTTTTTTTTCTTTTTTTTACTCTATTGATTTTTATTTTAGTATAAAAGCTCGATTAACAAATCGTCGACAACCTATACTTGCTTATTCGACAAGGCGAAAAAATCTTCAAACATCAACTTCTCATATTAATAATAATAATAATAATAGTAATAATCAATCATTATTACATGTTAATACAACAATTGGTACACCGAAAAGTAATAAACGTAAATTAGGTGGATGTACACCAACAGTGACACCATCAGCACATAAAGTTATCAAACGTTAGTTTTTTTGTAAAATTAGATTTAAATATAATCGAATGTCTTTTTTTTTAGAACTTGATTGTCGACAAGAATTAACACAATTAAAAGAAGAAAATAAACTTCTAGTAGAAGTAAAATATTTCTTTTTTTTAAATCTTATTTATATTATTTGTTTATTTTTTCTTGCCTTTTAGGCTAAAGAAAACTTACAACTTGAATGTGTTTTATTAAAAAATGTAATTATCTAATATTTGAAACATACTCATGAGATAAGACTATCGTAGTATACTTAATTAGATTACATAAAAGATAGAAAACTGTGCTTTTTCAGACACCAGAATATAGAACATTCTCTTGTATAAGACGATAATCATGATTAAACAAAGTTATCGGAAATGCTCTTAAAGCAGAACGATGAATATATATATATATATGATGCGACATTTGAAATGTTCTATATGTCGGAAAGAAGGTCATATTAGTCTATTACGTAATAACATTTCCAATTGACCTAATAATCAATAGTCTGTAATATTTTACTGAATAATATTTTATTAATAGTCACATGAAGCTGAATTGGAGAATCTCAAACAAGAACATCAACAAACTATTGATGTACTTGTTGAAGGTAAAAATAATAACAATAAAAAAAAGAAATCCACGATATGTTATATGAATAATTCTATTTTAGAATATAAATTACAACGTGAACAGTTCGATGCATCTATTGCTGATAAAGAACAGTCACTTATTCAAACTGTAATTAGAATATATTTTTGTGTTTATTTGATTATTGATTTGTTTTTAATAATTAGAATCTTGAACTTGATAATCTTCGAAATGATCATACATTATTATTAGTTGAAAAAGACACATTAGAAAAAGTAATTTGCTTTTTTTTTTATAATAGAAAATTTCTTAGATTAAAAAAAAAAAATTATTTTTTCTATAAAGATTGTTACCGAATATCAATTATTTAAAGAAGAAATGACTAATAAATTAAATGTAAATGAAATAACAATTAAAAATCTTCAAGAAGAAATTGAAAAATTAACTAAAATTCAAGAACAACAAAAACAACAAGTAAAATTAAATAAATTTTAATTATATTTATTTATTTATTTATTTAATAATTAGAAACAATTAATAAATAAATCAACATTAACTAATGGTCGAATGCCATTAAAAGGAACAACAAGTAAAATTTCGATTAGATTTTATTTAAATAATTTTATCTAAATCTTTTTTAATAGCTGATCGACCAAGAACAACTGGTAGTACTGTTCCTACAAATACAAAAAATGAACCAATTCGATCAAAGTATGTTAAAACTTTTTATTCTTATTTAATCTTCTATTCTATTTTGTCTTTTTGTCAGAACTAGTACCAAAGTTTCAATTACACGAGGTGTGGTATGTAGATCTTGTCAAACATTGTATCTTTTTTATTCTTTTTCCAATTAGAAAAAAGATGAACTTAGTACAACACCATCATCATCAGTTAATACGAGTTTAAATAAGTAAACAAAAAAAAAAATTTGTGGTTTCTTGTTCTCATTTTAAATTTCTTATGAATTTAGATCAAATTCTTCAACGTGTTCATCGGTATCAACATTAAAATTACCTCCATCGAAATCAAAAAATAAACCTAATGTTACAATTGAAGAGAAAAAGAAATCTGTATCTTCGATGCCATCAATTGATAAACGAATAAGTCTTATTTCGACACGTACAAGATCAAAAGTAGTTCCTACAAAATCATAAAATGAGCTTCTTTTTCTTTCTTTTTTTTCTTTAATAAAAATCAAATATACAGATCTAGTCTTTTCTGGTTCTTTAAGTCTAGAAAATAAGTCAATGTTGTATATGTTTGTTGTCAGATATTTTTGGATTGTACTTTTTTTTTTTTCATATGCCATCCTTTTTTTTCTAATCAGATCTAGAGCTTCCTATTACTTTTTTTCCTGTTTTTTTTTTTTTATTTGTTCCTATTCAAGAGCAGATTTTTCTCTCTTTAGTGTACAACATGTATGTGTATGTAGTATTCTTTGCTGTTGTTAATGCCATTGAATATTGTCACTTGTGTGTGTGTGTGTGTGTGTGCGAAAGCAAAATTTTTTTAATTTATACGAGAAAGATTTTTTTGTCTTTATATGACTTTCTCACTTTTGTCAATTTTTTTTTTGATAAACAGAACAGAGTGAGATACTATTATATAGATGTATTAGAAAATAAATTAAAATAAATTTATTGATATTTAGAAATGTTTAAGAAACAAAAGGTATATTCAATAAAAGATGTGTATCTAGTTTTTTTTTTTAATGGATTAAATATTATTAAGTCTAACGAGATATCAAAATACATTCAAGAATTTCTTGTTTCAAAGTGTCAGATATAATAAAGAAAAAATTTGTTTGTAATTTGAGAAAATATGTTTGAATGTGTAAATATTTTAATAATTTTTTTTTTCATGACTACTTTCAGTTTATGTTTTATTTATCGTAAAATATCAATTAATTATTTTATTAGAAGAACTTAATAATGGAGTTTTTTTTTTTAAAAAAAAAGAACGATATTTGTGATGAATGTAAAGCTAGTATTCATATTAAAATTTTTGATTCATTTTAGTTGTTCGAGGTAATCATCAAATTGTCCTTGAAATGATGTAATAAAGTCAAGTGCATTGTTTAGATTGCGTGAGCGAAGAAGAAATGATTAATGAACAAGATGAATGTAAAATTTGTAACGTAAAAAGAAAAAAAAGGATTATTCGAGAAAAAGAAAAATTACTGAAGGTCATATTGATAATGGTAAATGAATAAAAGAAATAATAAATACAATAGTTTTTGTTTATCAGTTATGAAAGATGCAGAAACGATCACATTTAGTGATGATAAGAACTAAATCTTCAACCTGATAATGTTATTATCGTTTTTGAATACAAGAAAAAAAAACATTACATTTAAAAAACGTAAAACGGATTTACTTATAAAAATATCATTTATATGAACAGAAATACTATGTGAATTTCAAAAGATAAATAAAAAAAAAACTTAATAATCGACAATTGGAAACATCTCAAAAATTCGATTCATTCTAAAAATGATAATTCATTTCTAGATACAATCATAAAATCGGAAGACCAAAGATCTATATGAAATGTAGGAACAGCTGCATGTCAAAATTCATGAGAAAAAAGATCTTATTGTACAAATTACATTTAGAAAATGTTGTTCTGTAAAAAGAATTACTGTCAATGCACATACGTCAGTTCATATTTCAAATAACACTAATGATGTGTATGTTAATTAAATTTTATTCTTATTAATGATAACTTTCAAAAAGATACGAAATAAGTGATAATGATTCACATGAATTTATAGTGAACCAATACAAGTTACTTGCACAAGAGATCATTTATAATCAACTTTAGTTTATTACTCTATTTTATGTTCGATTTATTACATTGATTTTCTTTTTTAATGTTAGTGGATAAGTAAAGAGACTCAATAAAATCAATAATGTACTATAAAAAACAAAAAAAAAGAAAAACTATTTTCATTAAATAGTATATTGTTTGTTTCATAATATTGTGTGTTCTATTGCTTGTTAAATAACTAAAGAACAGAATCAATTAGAAATCGACTGTTTTTCAGCAGTCAATAGAACAGTGGTTAAATTTGTGAGCAAGAAAATTGCCGAAATTACAAATATATAAATAGGTAATTTCAAAGAAACTTCCGAAATAAATTATTCATAAATAAGCAATTTTAAGAAAATCACGAAAATCTCTCAAATTTCTTTGATATGGATATAAGTAAATGAAGTTATGAGTTTATGAAAATATAGAAGCATATCAGTAGCGGATTTAGAGGAGAGTGCTGAGGCGATCGCTTCTCCCTTTTATAACATTTTTCTGAGAAAAAAATGCCCAAAAAACAGCCGATATGACCGTTAATAAACTTCGAAACACATTTTATAATGACTACAGCACTCTCTTCTCTACATCCAAAATTCACCACTAAAGCATATCCGCTAAAACTATACCAAAAAAAAACTAATAAACATAAAAGGGTTTTTTTTTTCGATATCTTCAATCAATTTCCGTAGAGCTTTATCTATTAAATGTTAATGATTTTTTTCTGTTCGTCATGTTTAACATTACCAAATGAAAGAAAACTGTTAAAATCATTATCATAATTATTGTGTAATACTTCTCGTATATTTTATGAACGCATAATCAACACTACCAACTGTTACCGAGAAATTCTTTTCTAAAGAACTGGCCAAAATATAATCTGTAAAAACATCTGTATCAGGCAAGATTATTATTATAAGTGTAATAGGATAATAAAGAAAATTTCATTTTTATGCGACATTCAATTAGTATGAACGGTAAAAAGCTCCTTTTTTTGTTTTATTGTCAATTACTTCAATCATTGAAGAAAACAGATTGTTATGTTTTATTTCTTAAGACAAAATGTATATTTCTTCAAAAAGAAAAAAAATAGATCCAAGAAGCGAGAAAAAAAATGAACGTGTCTAATAAAGCTCTTTCGAATAATGAAATGTATAATTGACAAGACAAGAAGCAAACACACAAAAAAAAAAACGGTGAAGAATAATAATTTTTTTTTAGTATTTGGATTAAATTCTTTTTTCACTGTTACGTGAGCAATTATATTTGTACAGCCTGATTGTTTTTTAAATATTAGACTGCAATAGGTTGTTGTTGTTGTTGTTGATATTGAGACTGCGCTGCTTCTTGTTGTGTTTCATAGAATTTATGACCAGTTGGGTCCATATGATGAAGTATAAAATTACTTCTTGGCGTCCTACATTTATTTATATTCAGAGATAATAGAAATACATTAAAAAAAAAACAAAACATCACATACTCAAGAAATGCAGCTGGACATGGTTCGATTTCTTTTTGTGTATATTCTGTTCTGTACATCGTAGCATCATCAAATGGTGCTGCTGATTTATAAGCTATACCATCTGGTTTAAATGAACGTTGCGGACCGCCAGCATGAGGAATATAATGACCTAATACAAAAAGAAAAAGCAATAAAAAAATCAAAATATTCTATATTACCTTTATATGTAGACATTCCTTCAAATGGCATATTTGGTGGTGCATAACCAGATTGTGCTCGTATAGCTGGTGGTCGTCCTCCAGGCCATTTACGATAATCACCTCCATAAGTTGTATTTGCATCAAATTTAGCATCGACTGCACGACGTTCGACTGGTCTAATAGCATTGACTTTAGCCAATGGTTTAGGTGTAAATTCTGAATTATACATTGTATTTAAATCCATATCACCTGTTTTTGCTCGATATTCATCTGGTTTATGTGTTTGAATTGGTTGAACTTCCCATCGTTTAAAATCACTTTTATTTGTTGTTGAATCTTCAAAACGAGCATTCGATTGATAACCTTGTTGATTTGGTTTCATTGAACGTGTAAGTTCAACTGAAATAAAAGAATAAAAATTATTTAAATATATATATATATATATATGTTTTATTTAAAAAAAAAATTCTAACTTTCTTTTGGTGTAAAATCTTTTTTATGTGTTGTTAAAGAATCTAAAGCTGATTTATTTGGTGCATATTCTTCTTTAGGACGTTGAAAACGTTCTTGTTGTGGATGACGAATATAATCTGTTCGATAACCAGTACGATCATCGAATGGTTCCTGGGATTGTAATACAGCTTGATCAGGTCGAATAGCTTGACGCATTGCTCCTTGATGTTTCAAATAATCTGTTGTATAAGTACTTGAACCTTTAAACGGATCTGATGGTGCAACCTGAAATAAAATAAAAAGAAATTGAACTGAAACAAAATTCTATTTACAAGAAAATAAAAAGCAAACGAAACTTACATATCCACCATCGTGTCGAATTGGTTCAGTTCGACTAGCTTCCCATTTACGATAATCAGCTGTACGAAAAAACAAAAAATATTGATGAAGAAAATAGAAATGGTCAAATTAACATACCTTTATATGTTGGATCACCTTCAAATGGTGCCGATATTGTTTTTTGACCTTCATGTTTAATTAGTTTTGCTCGTTCACCACCTTTGGCTGAATGAATATACAAATAATAGAGTTAGATTTAAAAAAAGCATGAGCCGTTTATACGTGTATATTCCTTGTTATAACTTGTTAAAGAATCAAATTCACCACGAGGAACATAAACTTCTTCAGGTTTAAATGAACGTGGTTTATCAAGCGCATGTTTTATATAATCGTGCCTGAAAAAAAGTTAATAATAAAATGATCTTTTTTTTTCTTACTATAAATATACTTGTGTGTTGTTTCATCATTCAATGGTGCGGTATTTGTTTGTAATGCATATTCAGGTTTAAATGATTCACGTACACCACCTTCACGTGGAACAAATTCCGAACGATATTCAGTTGCAGCACATGGTTGATCACCTTTACCAATAATACCATATGGCCGATGTGGACAACGATGTTTACTAAATAGATAAAAAAATAATAATAATAATAGTTAAAATAATAGAAGCCATTTCGCTCTATTTTTTGAGATACAATAAAAATAAAGCACCAATAAAAAAAAATGTAAATGTTGACTTGATCTCGAGTAAATAAATGAAATAAGATATTACTGAGAGTGTAAGCTTTGATAAAAGTGACTTCTTTTTTAACATGATTATCAAGCCCAAAAGAAACCATACAATTTTTTTTTTCGTAATGTATCACAGAAATGATATAAAACTTGAGATAACACATTGGATAGGTTTCTTCTATTCTTTTTTTTTTTTTCTCAATATCCATGACAACACATGTCTATATAGATATAAAAATACATACCCGCATGTACAAATTTGACAGATGCATCGTTTAGTCATTATAATTAATTAACTATGAATGATAATTAAAAAAACGAGACTTCGAATTGAAAATTGATAATAGATATAATGATAATAGTGACACAAGTGATGATACCCGTTCTTTTCCTTCCCTAATCGATACACATCTGAAAAACAAAAGAAGATATAAATGAAATACAAAGAATACTTTTAAAAAATGCATTCTCTTTGTAGACATATTCATCTTTGAATGGGTGTTTGTATGTATGTATACTGTTTGTGTTACGACGACAACGATGACGACGACAGGAAGGCAAATGATAAAAGGATTTTAATTTCTCTTGTGTTATGTGCTACGAATGGTAACTGAAACAGTCACAAATTTTTTTTTTTGGTTGCATAGCAATGGACATTAATACGTTCATTTGATATTGTATAAAATAATTAACGTGTCAGTGAGAATTAATCTTAGAATAGTATTCCTAATTAGTAGAATGTATTCAATATATTTATTCTAAATATATTAGCTTTATTTCGAATTGATGATATTTATTGTTGATATACGCCATCTGTATTATGTTTTATTACTGATCTTGTTGAATGAATTTTTCTAAGTAAGTAAGAAAAATTTTGATCTAATCAAGTGATTGGAAATATCATTCGTAATCATAATAATTATATTCAAATGAATTGTATATTCAAAAAATTCTAAAATTATAGTAAAAAAATATCAAAGAATATGTTCACTTTAACACGGCATCTAGTCATTACATTTTCATTGGATAATTCCTTTTTTTTTCGATATGCAGATGATATAGTTCCAAAATAAGATATCCATCAATATTATATTCAGAACAGTGTATTGAATGTAATATGGCTAATCGCTGGAAATATATGGGACATGAGATTGGCGTTAGTTTTTTCTTTTATATTTTCATAATGAACTATTTTCAATAATAATTTATTTCTGTAGGGTTGGGTAGCAACAAATCCTGAACCAGCTCAAAAACTTGTATTTAGACTTGATAAACATAAATGGAAAGGAAATGGACAATATGCTCGTTTACCTGAACATTATAAACGACGTGCTATTGAACATCTCTATGGAGATAAGGAAGATGTACATGAAGTACGTGACAAACGAAAATTTATTGTCAATCATGAAACTGGTGTTTGGTATTAATTTTATATAGATAATATTTCTTTTTGATTTCTTTATTTTAATTATGTAGGACACGTACAAAACATGTACCTGTAACAGTTGTACCAACAATTCAAGCTGATAAAGGTTTATGGGGTGGTGAAGGTGTATTAATTGGTTATGAAGATGGTAATGTTGTTGATGATTATTAGTAAGATCAAAAAAAAAGAAAATTCTTTTTATTATATTTTCATTGTTTTACTTTTCCTTTTTTTGTTTTTGGTATTATTTAGTCGATGTTTTATTTCGGTGCCTAAAATAATGAAATTACTTTTCTATAGTGAAATTCTTAATCAATATTATGCTGTTTGTGTTACACGACGTACAGTCGCTAAAATTGAAGAAGCTACAACATTTGATCATTATATTCTTAAAGTAAACAATTTAAGAGCAAAAAATCATATATATATTAGAATTAATGTCGTTTTTTGTTTAGACTTCTCTTCAAGATCTCAATTCAAAATTTGGTTTTGATCTTCGTCGACAAATGTTACATAAATTAGCTGATAAGAATGAGAATCTTTGGCCTAATGATCCAGAGAAACGATCAATTATATATGAAAAATATAAACAATATCAAGTATCTGTAAGTATTTGATTTTATTTTCTTACCATAGGCGGCGAATTCTTAAGTTTAGAGAGATTGAACTCAGTCCCATGTTTTTCTTTTCTGTTACGAAGAAAGCGAAGATTTAAACGCCTTTATTGACAATCACTATCACAAATTCGGAGGCAAGTCTATGCGCTTATGTTGAACAATAGTACAAAGATTGAATGTACAGACAAAATTCAGTATTTTACTTTTTCGACTAATGTCTTTTACTGCACAATAGACAAGAACTTTGTCGAAAAGTGACCAAGATTTCATAAACATTTTAGTTTATTCTATTCGATACTCTAGTACAAAGGTTCTATTTGTCATAAAATAAAACAAAAATGTCAGTAATGAATCTAAACTTTTGAAAAGGAAGGGAGGATTGTAAAAATGAACTACTGTCCCATTTTTTCGTTCTCCTGTCAACATTTGATAGGTTCGTTTTTTGTTTTTTGAGCATCCTCTAATTTAACTGTACGTCTGTCGTCTATGTTTATCACAATTGTTTTTTTGCTTTTATTTCTTATTTCTAATTGTAATATTTAGAAAGAAGAAATTGATTGGATTGGTTTGTTACCTGATGAAGCATTAGAAAAACTTGAAAGAGAAGAAGATGAAAAATATGAACGATCAATTCGACCATGGAAGGAATCATTTCGTGAATCACTTATTGCCGAACTTTCTCGACGACAAAGAAATAATGAACCAATTGATATAACACCAGTTGCAATAAAACCGTATGTTATACCTTTTTTTTTTTTGTTTCTTTTGTATTTTTTTTTTCTTATTTTTTATTTTCAGAGCACCGAAAACGTTGAAGGAAAAAGTTATCAATAAACTATGGGGATCCTGATATGTAAACTTTTATTATTGGTTTTTTTTTCATATCAATACACCTGTAGCATTTGTTGTTTTTCTTTTTCAATAAAAATCATTCGTAGAGAATCATTGTGTAAGGGATTTTCTATTAAAATCATATTTAGATAAGTGTTATTGATGATTGATTGTCAATACTCAATAGGCGATTATTGTTCATTTTGTTTTTTAGTTTTTCATAGATTAAAAAACCTATTGATTCACAAATTGATTTGTTCGTGATCTAAATTATTCTTAGAGTAATTAAGTTGGAGAAACATTCTTTGTTTTTGCAAGAACATAAATTATTAAGATATAATTTGGATAATAATCATCTGCATAAAACAAAATCATAGGTGACGAAATCTATATAACAGTTTAAAGTAATTTTTCAAAACCGTCATCATGTATGGATTTTGTTTTTTCAATGTTTATATTTTCTGAACATCTTATTGACTGTGATGTAGTATGTATATGGTTATATGAACATGAATTTACAATAATTGACAAAATTGAACAATTTGATATCCTTGTTAGTTCACTATACAAGGAAATGCTCAATGTGAATTGGTCTCTAGTATTCATACCTATATTCTCAAGCCGAAATCAGCTCTCGTTCAGAGAGTCTCTTGAAAAATCCCTGAAATTAATCATGACAGAAGTTTCCTCGGGATTGGCAGAAGATTTCCTACGACTTAGTGAGAATTATGTAGGAATTTCTCGAAAACACAGAGATGAAAATGATTACTAATGTAAACGATTTTATTCAATGTCGTTTATTGACTCTCGTCAATAAGACGAGAGATTACTTTTCCTTGGTCCTTCCTTCATATTTAGTAAACTAATCGTATTTGAAGAACTGATACTGAGTTTAAAATATGCAAGTTATTTAGTCCCTGACAAATTTCTCTAAGAATTCACCAAGGACTTCATATTTTTCAAGGAACTGACTAGTAATTCTATAAGTGACAGTCAACTAAAAATATCTTAAAATTCGAGTATCTAGATTGTGGCTCATATTTCAAAGTTAGTTGAATAGTGAAAACGTTAATTTGACCCGAATATGTTCAATTTTCTTAACTTACAGTACACAAAGCGCCTCGTCATTTCTTTCATAAAATAAAACTTAATGAAAAATTCATCGTTTTGGTATGGGAAGATTATGACAAAAACGAATGAAAAGATAAAGATTAGTAAAACTTCGAATAGAAATCCATTTTCTTTTGATTCAACACTTTCAATGTACTAGAATAATTATAATTTTGTTATTTTCTAATATAAATGCATATTATTCATCGTTCACATTCAATGAGTTCTAATTTAAGTTGTCCTTGTCTTGATATTAATACTTGTATTGCTGACATCAAATGAGTGAAAAATGTATTGTCATCATATGAAATCTATAGAAACAAAAGAACTATATTAACACAATGAGAATAGTAGAGAAGTACTTGACTATGAAGATTAATAGATTTATTGATTAATAATAAATTCTCAATGAGTTACATAATTTTTGATTGAAGAAATGATCATTCAAATATAGTAGTAATTAATTTAAAATACTAGAAATAAGCATAAGAGAAGGTGATATAAGAATATATTCAATCATCTAGTGAAAGAAAGTATTTCCTAATATTCAATAAAAAATTTGCACATCAAATATTTTTGACGATTTCATTATTAATCACTTTCACTAAAATCCCATTATTATCCTATAAAATTTATATTTCAATATATAAATATATTTAAAGTGTATAAAATATTGATATTACAAGAAAAGTTCTACGTGCAAAATGTCCCAGAAGTAAAAACATCGGTTATTTAATCAACGCGCGTGTTTTTTTTAGTAATCAACACAAAAGAAAAACAATTCTATTATTATTCGTTGTTTTTTTATTCTTCTATGTTCAATAGCTTTACAAAAAAAATAGGCAAACTTATCCCATGAGAGATTTTTTAGTAAGCCAAGATAACTTTTTTTTTTTCTGCGTATAACAATGTGATTTCTATATATAGCAAAAGAAAAATATGAATGATGATGTCTACCGATATCATATGAAAGTACAAATTGAATATGCATCTGATATTCATCAAATAATTATAATGTCTCATCAATCAATTTGTGTACGAGATTTACAAATGAAACTTTATGAATTATTTTCTGTTCCACCAAATGGACAACGTCTTGTGTATAAAGGAATAGATTTACATTGTTATCCAAATGCAACATTAGAAAGTTTATCATTTAAAAACAATAGTCTTATTCGATTTGTTGGTGCACGTTTTCAAGAATATCGATAAATAAAATATGTAATCATTCAATCTTAAATTCTATTGATTTCAATAAAAAGAAAAAGATCAATACTATCACTAAATCCAACAGACAATCTTAAAACATATTGTTTATCGACGATATATAATTAGTAGTAGGGATTAGTTGGTCTTTTCGTGTTGTTTTATTTTTATTCTTTTATTCTAGTTTAGTCTACTTGATTCTTTTGTTATATATATGTGAACCATTTAGTCTTATTGTTTGCCTGTCTTTTCGTCTTTAACATATCTGAACAGAAGGAAAAAAAAAGAAGAGAGCAACAACATGATTTATAACTCGGTCAAATTTTCTTTCTTGTTTTGCTTTTTTTTTCTTTCCTTCATTTGTCTTGTCTCTATCTGGCTGATGTCCAACTGTACACATTATAATAATTGAGCAAATCAATAAGGATAATAAAGATATAGAAATGATATCTTGTTTTTATTGTTATTCTTTGTTATCATCAATATTCTTAACTAGTCATATACGTTCGTTTTGTATTATTTTTTTATTACTTTCAATTCTATTTACATTTATTAATTTTTTAACAACAACAACATCAATTAATAAATTAACTACAAATGAATATAAGAATGATCAAAATTCAACAATTACAATATCTTCATATCCACTTTTATTATTAAATTTCGAAGATGTTTATCATGATAAATTTAATTGTTATGGACGAATTTATACTCAAAGATTAAATAGAAAAAAGATAAATAATAAAACTTTAATAATTCCAATTGAACTTAATCAACCAAATAAAACATTATTTGAACAAAATATAATTTCATATGATTATAATAATTGGCAATCAACTTCATTAATGCCTCGACTTGTTACAAAATGTGAACATAATTTAATGATGCAATTATTAAAACGTTTTGATCAATTAACAAAAAAATATTCACTTGAATATATGATGATTGATGGAACATTATTAGGTAATTATATTTATATTTATTGTAATTTAATTTAATTATTATTTATTAATATAATTAAAATAGGTTCATGGCGTCATCATGATTTAATACCATGGGATGATGATATTGATTTATTAATGTCCGTTCAATTTAAACATCGTCTTAATATGGCTATTAAATTAGAATCTTCTTCATTATCACCATATTATATTGAATTTCATCATCGTTGGGATTCACCAAAAGAATTTGAATATTATAAATTTTATTTTTCAATATCACCACGTTTTAGTCAATATCCATGGCATTATCCATTTGTTGATTTAATTTTTTATCATGAAAATCAAACACATATATGGCAAGAAAATATGCAACATATATCAAGTATTTCAAAACAATATATATTTCCATTACAATATCGTCCACTTGGATCATTATGGTTACCAGCACCAAAATCTCCACATGATTATTTTATGAGTGTTAATTGGACAACATATGATTATGAATGTTTTAATGGTCCTTGGTCACATAAATATGAAAGAATTAAAGATATTGATTATAGTAATGAATTAAAATCAACAATTGATTGTAAAGAATTACATGAATTTTATCCATTTGTTGAACGATCATTAACTAATGAAGAAGAACGATTAGTTATCAATGGTACAGTAAAACATATTATTAAAATGATTAAAGACAAATATGAATAATCAGTATTTTGTTTTTTTTTTGTTCGTACTCATATTGGTGTATATGTCAGATCATTTAATATGAATATAATAAAGTTATATCGAAGTGAAATCATCAACATTGAGAAATGATCTTATTAATTATTAGATTTATATTTATTTGAACTAAATTACAGAGTAGTCTTTGATTGTAAATAATTTTTGATAGGAACAAGATAGAGAGCTGTAGTTTTTATAGTTCGAAAGAGAAGATGAAGGCACATCGAACTGTATAATATAAGATAATTTGATCTACTTTTTTCAAGGACTTCAACCACCGTTTTTGAAAACCAACGTACTTCATAAGATAACTACAGTGAATTTTTTTATGATCAGATGTACATTTTCGAATCACTAGTGGAAAATCCGTAAAACTGTGTGAAGGTTAGACTTTGAGAGTTCTCGTTCAGAAGTTATATGTATTCTACTCGAAATTTTGAGCTGATTTTTCTATTAATTTCTATGAAAAAAAAAAATCATTTTTTTGTGTTTTTCTTATTTTATCAGTAATTTCTTTGAAAAATTGATTAAGAAAACATCTTAGAAAAACCTTGAATATATGATTCAATGTGTCTTCAACTTCTCTTTCGAACGATGAAAATCGTTGCTCTCTATCTTGTTCCTATCAAAAGTTATATATAATCAAAGACTGTCTCTTGATTAAATCTTGTGAAGAATATAATGAATACAACAGTTCTATTTGTAATAATATATAACACATGATAATCTTCATATTCATACACAAATCTAGAACTTATTTTTATATTTTCCCATTTCAATTGGATATTTTGTTTTTTTTTTGTTATTGTTGAGTGTAACAGTCTCATGTGGTATTATTCATTTATTTTTCTACGTGTATTATTAATCAAATTCTTTCATTTTTCTTCTTGTCAACAAACTATATATGAGTTCAAATGACAAAACAATAAATGTATTCAAGTTGTTTTAAATTAATTCTTAGAATTACAATGGTAACATATCTGTTCATGATTAGAAGAAAAGAACTATTCAACAAGAAAATTTAATAAATAACCAAGCATGCAATCATACATGTTACGGTTGATTCCCCTAAAGGCTTGTATAACTAGTTTAAAAAATAAGGCTTTTGTCAATCATTTATTTATTTGTTCTTTATTCTAACCCACGTTCATATTTTATTGTGGTTTTCTTTTGAAAATCATAACTAATTTATTAAATTTGATTCGAAGATCATGACTGAAAAAGCACAATTGTAAGTATTAATATAAAAATTTTGAATAATACATTATTTGAATTTTATATATATTATAGAGTAGAAATAGTTAAATTTTCATCAATAACAACTGCTGATAAATTATCAAGCAATCTAAAATATAATAATCTTGAAACATATTCTATTATTTGGTTAGATCGTTTAGTAAATGATGTAAAAGAATATATTGATGCTCAACAAAGACTTCGTGTATCTATAAATTATATAAGAACATTTAAAAATAGTGATGATTGTGAACAATTTATTCAATCTGTATCTGAACAAGATCGTATTATTTTCATTGTTAATAATCAATTAGGTCAAGAATTAATACCACGTATTCATCAACTTCGACAAATATTTTCAATTTATATCTATAATCATGATAATAAACGAGGTGGACAATGGACTAAAGAATTTAAAAAGGTAAAGAAATAATTTATTTAATCAATGTAAATACTTGTGTATACTTGATATTTCTATAATATAAAACTATATACCAGTCACAGGATATTACAACAATTGTGATTCATATAAAAGAATATTATGACTCTGTATCTTACCGAACCAATCTCTATAGAATTTTATCTAATAATTTTTTTTGTTTTTTTTTTATGTTTTAAACTCTTTGATACTGTTCATGAGGATAAAGATGACCAATCGTGCAATTTTCTCATAAATTGTATGTCATAGTCAAATCAGCCTAGCAATATCCAAAAAGCGTTAATTATTCAAGATTTAACTATAGAAAAGTATATCAGTTTTGTGATAAATACTTTTTGAGTGAAAACATTTCTATCTATGAATAATAAGTTCATCACGCCTTATCATTTGACATATATGAATGTTTCAAAAATGGCAAAAAAAAAAAACATTTTTCGCTTTCAGACCCAGGAAGGGATTGGGGTAATGAATTACTACAAAAGTTCGTTTTTCTTTTTATTTTGTCCCTTGTGAATTTAGATAGCGAGTAACTAAATGCGATTAGAGTATAGAGCTCTATTTGATTTAATATAATTTTCGATTTCTTATGAGAATTTAAAATTTTGCATGTCCTCGTACTCAAAAAGTATTTGTCACAAAACTCATAGACTTTTCTATTCTTAGATCTCGAAAAATCGATATTCTGTGAGTATTGATTGATCGATTTGACTATGACATATAATTTATGAGAAAATTTCATGATTGATCACCTTTATACCTCAGAAGCAGTGTCGAAAAATTTAAAATATCATAAAAACTAAAAATTATAGAAGCAAAGAAAATGCTAATGTTTCCAGTGTCAACTGAGAAAAGTATTAGATAAAACTCTATTGATATATTGAGTTATAATATGTGTTCATATTATCTACAATTGATGTAATATCCCGTCACTGGTATATGGTTATGCAAAACGTTAAAACTTGATGAAAATTCAACTTTCAATATATCATTTGATGCATCACGAGTTGCTGTATAAAATGACATTAATGATTTTTCGAACGAATGATAGTGATCTTATCCGACTGAGTTCTTTATTGCTCAAGAAAAAAAAAACAAGAACTCTACAAAGAGTATAATACTTCAGAATCAAGCTTTGTATTTGTACTAATTAAAGTCAAGTTAGGTTGATGATGTATGCATGCATTGTTCCATAACTTTTAGAAGAAGTTTCATATTTACATTCAATAGTCTAGAAATCGTACCCAAGAAATTGTAGATCTTTAGAGTTTTTACTTTTTTTTGTATTGTATTTTGTTTCAGATTAAAGCGACAAGTTCACAATTAGATGTACTAGTTGCTCAAATCAAATCTGATCGAGCTCGAAGAAGTCATAATAAAATAGATGAACCTTTAGCAATAAGTATTTTTGATGTTAATGTTAGTTATAAATTCAATAGTCACTTTATACGTTCACATCTACTTATTGATTGTTTACTTCGAATGAAAGATACTTCATCTGATATGGAAAAATTTATTAGTTTATGTGAAGAAGAATATAAAGATAATAAAAGTGAATTAGCTGTTATTCGTGAATTTCAACAAAATTATGCTACAGCACGTGCATTAAGATGGTATACACGACAATCTTTTCTTTATAGAATGTTAAATAAAGCTTTACGAGTACAAAATATTGATGTACTCTTTCTATTACGTTTCTTTATTTTTGATGTTCAACAACAACTTATAAAAAATCAATGTTCACAACCTACTCGTCTTTATCGTGCTCAATTATTAACAAATGATGAAGTACAATTAATGAAACGTGCTATTGGTGGTTTTCTTATGATAAATACATTTCTTTCAACTACAATTGATCGTGAAGTATCATTATCATATCTTGATACAATGGATAGTTCAGATGAAATTGATATGCAGCGAGTATTATTCGAAATCGATGCTGATCCTCGTATTAATAGTATGAAACCATTTGCTAATATTATTTGGCTTAGTTATTGTTTCGGTCAACAAGAAGTTTTAATGATGATTGGTTCAATTTTTCAAATAATAGAAATTCAACATGATGAAAATCAACCATGTATTATTCGATTAATTTTATGCAGTGAAAATAGTCAAGATTTGAAGAATGCTTTAAGATATATTAACAAAGAATATGATGGTAAAGAAATAGATCTTTTTTCATTTGGTCAAGTTTTATGTGACATGGGAAATTTTGATGATGCAAAAAAATTTTATCTTCGTGTACTTGATGATTTACCAACAAATGATCAAGATCTTGCTACATGTTATCGTGCACTTGGTAATGTTGCTGCTGATAAAGGTGATTGTGATTTAAGTCTTGCATGGTATGAAAAATTACATGAATTATTAGCACGTACATTACAATCTGATGATGTTCGTCTTGCCGATAGTCATAATATTATTGGAAATATTTATTGGAAAAAAGAAGATTTTAAACATGCACTCGATTCATATAATAAAGCTTTGGTTATATACAAACGAATATATGATGAAAATCATTTGATTATAGCAGAATGTTTGAATAGAATTGGTGCTGTCTATGAAAAAGAAAAAAAATATTTTCAAGCACTTAATTATTATGAGAAATCATTATCTATTTGTCAAAAATCTCTTCCAGCTGATCATCCTGATTTAGGAATGGCACATAGCAAAGTTGCTCATATTCGTCTATTACTATGTCATTATTATTTAGCATTGGGACATTATAATATTTCACTCAAAATTAAATTAAATAGTCTTCCACCTGATCATTTAGATATAGCATCAGATTATCGTGGCATGGGTAATACATACAAAGCTAGAGGTGAAGTGAGTCAAGCATTAATATATTATGAAAAAGCAGCTGAAATTTATCGCAATCATTTGTCTTCTACACATCCTGATGTCGTTGAAATAGAAAGAACTATTCGATCTCTTTCTGCTCAAGCAAAATAATACATTACTCTTGCTTAATATAAACTTCGGAATGCCATAATTGGAATGCTTTTTTTATTAGTATTATTATGTATCTATCATAATATTATTTTATTAATATTCAAAGATGAAAATATTATTTAAAGATCGAAGCTTTAAAAAACAATGTAAATGTATAGAAAGATAGTTGAGTATCTTTTGATAAATAAAATTTCATGCGCTTCAATACTTCCACTGATGTTCTGACTATTTGGGTGTCCGGAATGTGGGTGAAACGAAGATCCAAAGCAATGTCTACTTCCACATCCACACTCACATCCTGTATCCACACACTTCACACCTACCCTTACGCCCTCAGATGAAACTTCACCCTAAACCAAAATCAAACAATAAATGACGACGGAAGAAGATGTGCGAACAGAAAATCGGGATGAAATTAGAGATAGATTTATCTTAATCTATATGAGACAAACGATAGAGAACGAAAAGAAGGATCATGTCTTTATATATCGATAGAGAGAGAAAATTGAGTGGATCAAACTAAAATACGACATGGTTCCAAAATCAGTAATAAAGAATGAGAAGAAGAAAAGAAGATGCACGTATTCAAGAGACAAGCCTGTAAAAACTATTCAAAAAAATTCAATGTTATATTAACTGAGATACAACTAATTTATTGCAGTTCTTACTGTTATGGGTATTGTACGAAGTCCATTGGAACTTGGACAATTGTGGAAACCTGACAGTATTGTTCAAATTCATATGGCGAAATTCCAATTGGCTTAATTCTAGTTTACTCTTCACTTCAATCCAAAAATAGTAAACCCCTTCTCACACTAGAAGACGCCGAATTTTCTATTATGTTTAAGTGTAGAAATCTTCCAGCTAGTGTTTTCTATTGTGTTTTATTTATCGACATAATTTTTAATTGGAAAGGTTTTTCAAAAAACCACCCAGATCAATTTCACCTCATCGGATCCTACAAATCTGACACTATCCGATAAAATCCAATGGTATAAGTGTCCATAAATAGTTTAATTTGTTTATTATATTTTTATTTGTTGCGGTACTAGTTCACTTTAGACACAGGAGAGAAAGGAAAGAAAGAGTACACACACAAAATCGCTATTGCATCCAAATGACGTATAGCCTCTAAAATCTGAAAGAGGGCGTTTCGCATCACTTTTTGAATTCACAAGCCCATTTCTACATCATAGTGAAAAAATAGAAAACATCTGTAAAAATGTTCAGATTATTATGAATTTAATGTTGCAGAAATCATAGTATATATTAAAAATTCATACTGCAATTAATAAAGATATTTAAAAAAGAAATGAATAAACAATGAGTTTTTTTAGAGTTTTTCCGAAAAAAATGTCGCAAGATAATGATTGATAAAATATTTACGATGAATAAAATAAACAAAGAAAAAATACTAATAAATAGTGTTGATTCTTTTTTGTTTCAAATAGAAAAACGAAAACATGCCATTCTTTAGTTTAAAGTCAATTTCTCTCCAAAAAACCATACAAAGAGAGAAACAATTTATTATCAAAAATAGTATTTTTCGTTCATATAGATAGTATAAAATCTATCACTTGAATTTCTTCAAGTTCTTAGTAATAAAATTGCTCAGAACTAATTTAAGATAATGGTAAAAAGTTTTGGTACAGCATGTTTAGTTTGTCAAAGAGCACCTCTATATAAATCAATATAAAGAATGAAATAGAGTTAGAAAAAAGTACAAGTTTTTTTTGCTTTCTGGATCTCTTTGCAATTGTGTTCTTGGTAGTTATCATTGTTTTATCATATATGTTTTTGTTTGACATGAGTATGTTCAAATTAGATTATTCTCAAATTAGATGTACAGTTAATCAAAGATAAGAAAAAACTCTTCCATCGTGCAGGTATTGATGATATTTGAGCTATTTTGTCAAAAATAAAACTCGAAAAAAAAATATCAATTCAGGTATTTCTTGTGAATGAGTGGAATAGTCTCACAAAAACTTAAAATCTTAATTATGTAGGACACTTTTATTTTCGAACGAGTATTTGAAGCTTGTATCAAGTCTGAAAGAATATATCGATGAGGGTGTGGGTGTGGATGTGGAGGTATGAGTATTGAGTTCAACCACACCCACACGCCCACACACCCACACCTACACACCCACACCCACACCCCGTACAAACAAATTCATGTATAAAAATTTTCATTTCTTACATTTCCACTTTTTATGTATCTAATTGCTGTCTCCTGTTTACAAAAATAGTAAAATAAGTAATCATGACCACCTTCATTTTCTTCTATTCTGAATAATGTGATTTGAGAACAATATCTAAGTAATTAATATTTGGATTCTGACAATATTGTTCTTCAATCAACTAAACTTCTTCTTATCTGTCCTTCTCTTACTTCTTCACAAAACTGTTTTTCTTACTCTTTGTGTATTCTCAATCTTAAAACAATTCATCTTTTTTTCTTCTATTCTCTACGTAAAACTAACTAAATAATAAAATAAAACTCAATCAGCTTGAACATTTCACCATAACAAGCTACTTATATTTCTCAAAAAATTAATACATCCGACAAGGGAAACTAACTCAAATTGAATCACCAAGAAAACACAGAACCACACCAGATGGGGGAACAATGGTCGAACGTATCCGACCTCTTCCCAATGATTGATGTTGATGCGAACAAAAAATACAATACGAACCTTCATGATACAAACCACATTCAATACTACAACCTGATATGAATTCAATAGGGTCTAACTGAAAAGTGAAATACGTTCAAGTCGAGATGATCAGATGGCATAACACGTGAGAACACAACACCATAACATTTCATAGATATCACCTACCAGATATCGATTTCTCTCATCTCCCAACACGTAAATTTGGCTGAAAAGCAAATCAGCATCAGTCAAACCAACACTATGCCATCACTCACAAAAATTGACGGAAGAATCAAACAAAGACAGATTTGCGAGTTTTATCTCACTTCATTGCAGACTAAATATGTTACAGAAATAGTGTGCTGGTGACACTAACCGAAAGGATTTTCAAGATCCAAGGGCCAGTAAAGTGTTAGTATTCACACAACTTATACATCAATCGATGGAACTAATCAAGACGCTTCGACTAATAGGTATTCCATGATTGGCTTACATTGCGGATTCAGTATTTTATTGACATAGTATGTTGGTGACAGTATCCGCACGGGTTTTGGAGATCCCAGCGTCTGCGAACTGTCGGTGTTTACACAAATTATACATCAATCGATAGACCTCATCAAGGCGCATCAATTTCTATATGTTCCATGATTGTCACACATTTCGGAGTGAATATATTATTCAAATGGCGTTTTGGTGACAGTAGCCGAACGGGTTTTAAAGAGCTCAGGGCCAAAGAAGTGCTAGTATTCAGATAAATTACACATCAGTCGGTAGAACTAATCAAGACGCATCGAATGAGATGTTTTCCATGATTGGCACATACTGTAGAATGAATATGTTATTGAAATAGTGTGTAGGTGACACTAGCCGAAGGGTTTTTAGGAGTCCTACCATACGTGAAGTATAAATATTGACACAAATTATACATCAATCGATAGAACTAATCAAGACGCACCGAATAATATGTGTTCCATGATTGGCATATATGGTAGAACGAATATGTTATTGAAATAGTATATAGCTGAGAGTAGCGGAAGAGACTTTAGAGATCCCAGAATCTCTGAAGTGTTAGTAGCTACACTAAATTTCACATCAATCGATAGAACCAATTCAGATTCATTGAAAAATGGGAACTTTGTTTATGCAATACGCTATTTTTTTTTTGCTGAGTAATGATCGTATTCTGTTGTCACATATATCTATGGTTTTGGAGAACTTTGAGTCTAGAGTTTTTACTCAGTGGGAGTGAAATACATATCATTCGATAGAGCTCGTCAAGATGATTCGAATAGAATCGGTTTCGCATGTGACACAGGTTATTGAACGAATAACTACGGGAATTATATCATAAAATTGTGTCTTTTTATGTTTCTGGAGCTCGAAGGTCTCACAAGTTGGTTTGATTAGGATTTTATTGGTACCATCAGATGTAGGACGTCGAGATGCGTCGAATGATGTAAATTTGAAAAGTGGCACGGGTCCTGGTTTGAATTGTTTTAGGAAATTTCGGATTTTAGTATTTTTCCCTTTGGTACAAAATTATAGTTTTCGTTGTCTTTCGTTGGTTTTGATCTTGGCTGAAATTCCAAATTTACGATGTGATAGAGTTTGTCGAGCTCTATCTGGCACACGAGAAATCAAACCTGGCACAGTTGAGTAGGCGAATCGGTCTGCAAAAAATTCGAATCAGGTGCTAACTTCCCTTACATTCAGTTATGTTAGGGTAATTTCGATGACTTTGATAGAGCTTTCAGCATTTTTGTAAAACCTAATTCAAAATATTAACTTTTCTGAAAAATTTTTACATGACTTGATAGAGAAGATTTGAGACTATCTGTAGATAAAAAAATCTTTTTTTCTGATGTAAAACAGCTGTAAAGTGATCAGAATTACTCTGATCGACTGTATATATAAAGAGATTGTGTCCGAGTTCATTCGCATATAGAACAAAAAAAGAGAAACAATGTCATTTTTCCTTTTATTCATTCGTTGTCAGTTGTGATTATAGGCGTATATGTCTTATTATTTTCATTGACGACATCGGTCAAATCGATAAAATGAGCATATCTATATAAATACTCATATTTATAAACGATAAGAATAGATAAGTGAAAAAAATATGTTACATATATCGACTGAATTAAATGATTTACCTGATGAAATTCTTATGCTTATTTTGAAAAAATTGTTCAACACCGAAGTACTCTATTCCTTAATAGATGTTAATAAACGACTCAATACAATTGTGCGTGATCCAATTTTTACAAGTCACTTAACATTGATGAGACGTTTCTTGGATAATTCCAACTATCCATTACCTGATCTAATACTTGATCGATTTTGTTCACAAATCTTACCCTCTATTTGTCATAAAATCAAATGGCTCAATCTTGAATCATCATCTATGAAACGTATTCTTCATGCTACAAATTATCCGAATTTATATGGACTTGGTTTATATGATATTGAGATAGAAACAGCTCTATCTCTTATTGGTAAGATATTTTCTTTAATTCTTTCAATAATTAATTATTGAAAAATATATACAAAAATCAAAATGAGTTTGAATATATAATTTATACAAATAGATTTAGATTATTATACGTTTTTTTTTTCTTATAAAATATTTCTGTACTTTACTGATACAAACTGACAAACACAAATTCGAGAAAAATTAGTAGTAGAAAAATGATACAAGGAATCATTTATAATTAAAGCAATATTTGAATAAAATTTTCTAGTGTCTTTAATTGAAATTTTCAACATTGATTCTGAAAGACGAAATTGTAGAATAAAATAAATGACACAATGTAATTTATTAAAAAATTTAGAAGAAAAGATTACACACGTACATTACAGAATTGTTAAAAATAAAAAAAAGAATAAATACATCGATTTAGTGATCAAGATAAAATCCAATATATTATTTGTTGACTTCATATTTCTTTTTTTTAGACGAATCTTGTTTAATTTCTATAAATAAAAATCAAATATCATCGCTTATTATCGATGTTACTAAATATAAAAAAAGAAAAAATTTAAGCACAGATGTGTTTGAATGTATATTGATACATATCCTTAATATGTTCTCCAATTTACAATATTTAAATTTTTGTCCATCTTCAATGTCGTATCAACAATTATTATTTAACAATCCATCTCCAACTATGAACTCTTCAACTCTCTTAGAACTGCATATCAGTTTGGCACATTTCATTGACTGTCTTTATATACTTGATGGACGTTTCAATAAACTTCACACGCTTTATGTTGATATTGGTTCTATTTCCTCTTCGCATTTAACAAACAATAATCAGGTAGATTATTTCAGCTAATATTTAAGTTTTTCGAACAAATACATTATATGGTTTTTTATAGGAAAAACTATCTAATTTAAGATGTTTTTCGCTATGTTGTGGAAGGTCAACACATGCTTTTGATAAATTAATTGTACCATTTCTACAACGAATGTTGAATTTAGAAAAATTCTGTTTGAATCTTGTTATTTGTGCCAAAAAATTTGTTGATGGAAATGAATTGAAGCAGAATATTATTAATCATATGGCACGATTACAGAGATTCGAATTTTATATTTGCTCAGGTATTTCTCTTCATAATCAAATTTATCTACAATCGAAAGAAGATATTCAGCATACATTCAGAGATTTTAAAGATGATCAAGTTATTTCTTATGTTGATTATTTCCAAGAACAATATGGTCTATGTCATACCTATTTGTATCCTGAACAATTAAAATATTATCATACTGTAACAAATAATTTTCCAGGTGGCTTATTTACATGTGTTCGTACAATATCATTACATGATGAACATCCTTTTGAACATGAATTTTTCCTTCGTATTGCTCAATCATTTCCATTTATGAAAAAACTTTCTTTAAATAATTCGAAACCACAAAATAACAAATTATGCAGAGAATCACAGAATGACAATCAAGATTTTTCAATCATTAACTATCCTTATCTTACTACTCTTACACTTTACGATGCTCATGATGATTATATCGAAGAATTTCTAGTTGATACGAAAATATGTTTACCGAAAAATGCTGTTCTTCTTAACATTTATTATGAACAAGTAAAAAGAGTGACACACAATTTTACAAGAGATACAACACGAATCAATTGTGCGAAACTAAATTCTTTATATCTCAATGGTCGTCGACTTCCTAAATATGCAAAAGACTATTTTCCACATGTATAAATATTGATTACTATTATTGTTTATGTAAATTAAATTGGTTTATGTAGAATAAATGTATTAAAATAGAGACAAAATTTATTTTAGATTGGATTGGAAAGACTTGCATTTGTGTATATACAAGAAGAATCATACATGATAATCCTGGAATGATAAAAAACATAGTAAAAAAAAAGATAGTTATTTTACAGAAAAAAAATTAAAAGGAACATGTCAAAGTCGAGCTATTTGGTATCATACAACCTGAAATACATCTTTTAGAATCGAGAATAAAGAGAAAGCTGAGAGATCTAATTATTTTGATTTACAATATGAAGAATCTCTTCGAAGACGATTGAGAAGATATTATGATCCATCAGATTCACAAGGTTATTTTGAAGGACATATTTGGCAAGCTTATCTCAAAGCAAAAAAAGAAAGCTGTTGAACGATTTCATCACAAGAAAATTGTTGTTGCTAATACAACAGAAGAATCATTTGAAGAAATTGAACAAAAAATTGTCAAAGATATTGAGATAAAATTATATAAAAAAACAAAATGAAATAGAAAATAATTAATAAATATCATTTGTCTATGTTCAGAAATAGATATATGTGGGACTGGGACCAAGATCAAAAAATTGTAGTTAAATTTTGCATGGTTTTCAAAGAAATATGATATAAATCAAATCAATCTGGACAATATTCGAAAGATATTGCCAAAAAACTGACATTTGACAACTGAATTAGTTATAAATAGAGGTCTCCAGACGTTTCGTCGTTGTCATTCCGAACATTCTTCTTTAGACACCGGACGTTTGGAATTGACATTTTAGTCCTCCAACGAGTGTTCGGAAAAAAATTTAACGGATGTCCGTAACCAATAAAACAGATGTTCGGAATGAATTATGTTAGATGACAGAATTACAAAAGATAGATGTTCGTAAACGAAACTACCGGATGTTCGGAACGCAAACATAGGGATGTTCAAGACAAAACAAATGACGTTCAAAACGAACTTAGATGTAGAGCTGTAGAGAAAGAAGAGTAGATCTCATAATCTCTAAAGTGATAACTCGGAAAAAATAATAATATAAGAGTAAATAGAAGTTTGTAATCCAGTACACACTTTCACATCTGTAACTATGTGTCTAACATACTATGTACGGTGCTGTGAAAGAAAGAGCGTTCCGAGCATCGGTTAACTAGAACTAAAATGCTGCACTAATAAAAGAAGCAGATCTCGCTTCCGAACATCTATCTCTATATTTTAATTACGAACACCTGATAGTTTTCTTTACAAACATCCGTTAAAACTATCCAGTTCCTCACACAGAAATGTGTGTATCACTGCCGTTCCGAACATCCGTTTTTTTTCTCGATGATCGTTCCGAACACCCGTGTTTTTCTAATTACGAACATTCGATATTTTTATCATAAAAGTGGTAAGTTTTTAAAGAAAACGGATGTTCGGAATGGACTACGACATTGGATGGATGTCCGGAATGAAAAATAGCGACGAAACGTCAAAGTGCCAAAAATAGAATATTTAAGAACTTTTTCGATTTAATGCGACTAAATTCTGAAATAGTTCTCTTTATGTCGAGACCGGGACCAGGATCATTGAAAAAAAATTACCGAGACCGCAACCGGGACCATTGAAAAAAGAAGTTACCGGGACCGGGATTAAAAAAATTTGGTCCCGCACATATCTATTCAGAAATCAACATTATTCTAAAGTAATCACAATTCTTGATATTAATGTCACGTCTTTTGTAATAGAATTGAGTGATTCATAGAAGAATAAATAGAGAAATTGACATTATTACCTTTACCTATGACATAGAGTATATTGCATTCAGACGTCTTACAATGTCATTGTACAATAATGAGCTTACAACTCGCTTAGACAGAAGCATTGAATAAAAAATAAAAAAAACTAAAACTTCGCAAAATGATGCTTCAACCCATTTCTGATCGACAAAGATTCAATTATGTCAAAGATTCATTTGATGAAAAAGACAAATGTAAATGAGAAAGTTTATTCTAATAGATGCAAAATATTTTACCGACGTCAGATAGTGAAAAAGAATCTAATACAACTATATGAGAAATACATCGAAAAAAAAAATGAAGAACAAGAAAAGAAAATTATTCAACAAACTACAAATACCATAAAAACAGCGACAGATTAATTATCGTTATTAAACTAAAACAAGATTTATTCACTCATTTTCGTATTTTGATTTGAATTATATTTTTCAAATATATCATTAATGGAATAATTATGAGGATTCATGATATGCTATATATTATTTCTTTTTCTTTTTACACATTTCAGCAAAGATTATTCACTAAATGAAACAAGAATGATATAAAAATAATTGACTTTTATTCTTCATCTTTCTTCTTTATATTTACCGATGATAATATATTCTAGACAAAATGTTTTTATCTTTATTCATCAAGATATTGCAATAATATGGAGGTATAATCATCATTTTCTTTTATTCTTAAATTTCTTTTTTTGTTTACATAGGTGAAGATAGCAAAAGATTCAAATAAATTTATCTGAGATTCGTTGAGGAACATGTTCGAGATATTTGATTTGTATTACAAGTACGAATTGACGAGCTGTATTCATTGATATAGTTGGATTTCCTTTGGCGAAAATCATTCATTCGGAGTATTGAATATGAGAACTGTATGTTAGATCAGTCACGTCAATTCCTATATATCAATGAAAGATTGATTGATTTCGAAACTTGTTCTAAGATTCTCTTTTCGTAGTTTAATATCAATGAGACTCTGATGAATGTTTTTTCTGACAATATATAAAAGACCTACTGTATAACACTTTTAGAGATTGGCTCTTGTTAACGACCAACTTGTTGTAATCATACATCTGAATAATAATATTTGTCTTCGAAGAAAGATCCAAAATTAAATCAATATAAGTGTGAAAACGTATGAAAGAAAAATTCTTGATCAAGTGATAAAGAAAATAAAAGGTCAAATGCTGTTGTGAATATAGTCTAGCAAAAATGAATTTTGTTATTCTTTAGGCTCGTTGACAACGTGAAGATATTCCTAAAAAGGCTCATCATTTTTCAGATGATGATGATTTTGATTAAATGTTCTTATTTTTATTATCCAAATATGTATATAAATTAATCAGGTAATCAAAAAAATTCATGTGTTTGTGAATCTCTTATTTATTCATTGTTCTTGTTCGAAAAAAAATACAATAAAATAAAAAAAAGAGAAATAGATGATTTCACGAACAATTGAAAGTCTCATGCACGTGGTGGTGGTGGTGATGGACCTGGTGTACGTTTATGTTTACGAACAAGCTTATTTATCTTGCCACAGAATTTTCTGATAAAACTTTCCATATTGACAAATTTTCCATCGACGAAATAATCCGAAATTGGCATTAAATCTCGAACTTCTTCACCGTTATTTATCACTATAGTAAAATAATATGAGTATGCATCAACACGCTGTGCGACAGTAACATCAAGATTTTTTTTTTTGTATAGAATTAATGCAACACCATTTTCGTCTTTTTCAAAAGATACAATTTCTTCCTATAAAATAAATTATTAAACAATATATAAAACAAATTTTTTTACCTCTCCTTCACGAGGTTTTCTAATAATAAATCCTTTTTGTATCCAACAATAGTGTGACATCAAAATAAAATAATCAAAGGTAGTATTCAATTGACCTTTATAAAAAAAAAACCACGAAGACAAAAATGGTACTCTAGACATGCTGTATCTACAAAAGAAATAAATATCATTTCTTTGAAAAGTCTGAACAATTGTATTGATAATTCATTCAGTATGTATTATCAATTTTCTTCTTTATATCCTTACGACGTCTCTATATTGTTTCAGATATTTCTTCTGATGTAATATCTTCTGTAAGAATATATTCAATAATTGTTCCTTTATTATTAATACTTTTAAACAAATATTTTTTCTAATTAAAAAAAAGAAGAATTTAAAACGTACCAGATTATGTTTAATAAGTTCTTCATTTAATGTTTTTAACAGATGCTGGATCATGTAATTGGTGTAATATATTGATCATTTTGGAACAGGTTTTGTTTCAACACATTCTGATTTAATTGTTTGTTTTTTCTGACTTTTATTATCACCAGCAGCTTTTTATTTTAATGCTTCATTATTTACATTAAATAATGATAAAGTAAGAGGACTAAAAAAAATCCAAATAAATTCTGCATATAAAAATCTAGTTTTGTTTTATTCTTACTTCAGTTGAGTACATATATAATGTTCTGAAGCTGCATCACCACCACCACCATGTAAACATGTACCTAATTGATGATCATCTGGTACAAGAGAATTGATATTATTTGAATCAACAAAATTTTGTGCAAGATCAACAATTGTATTTATGTTAATGATTGTTCATCATGATGATAAGCGAAATCTTCCGCAACTTTACCAGCTAATTTGTGCAATTTTTATTTCACGTATTAAATGTTTTGTAAAACAAACAAACATTATTTTACATTGATCAGGTTTAAGATCATCCTTTAAAAATAATTATTTGAGAAAAAAAATGAATATTTTATTATTAATTTATTTACCATAATACTTGAAATTGCACATTCACTACTTGATTTTGAAAAAAGAACAAGTTCTTCATTAATAAAATCATTAAAATTTATTTATTTTCAATCTTTTTTTTTTATATAAATAATCAGCTAGTAAATTAAATTTTGTTCACATCTTGGATTAATATCTTCTCTTTGCCATTTAATCCAATCTTGTTGATCATCATTTAATGCACAATGGAATGCTATTTGTATAGGAAAATCATCTTTTATTGATTCATATTTAAATATAATACGATGACGATCCATATTAGAAAAATATTCTTTTGCTTCTTTAGCTGTTGATGTACCTAAATCTGTCATTTATCTAAAAAAAAAAACATTAGAAGAATAAAGATTTTAAATTAAAAAAAAAACCTTTGTAGTATTTGCATTTTCATTTATGCCAGTCTGGTGTTGTTGTTGATGTTTGTCATTAATCAAATTCAAGCATCAAATAAAATGAAATTACGTGGTGACCTTTCGATACCTAGAAAGCATTTACTTTAATACTATATTGTAATTAATAATACAATGTTTGATAGAAACTATTACACGTTCAAGATTCCTATTAAATGTTTGAAAAATTAATATACAAACTATACATTATCATTTTAAATCATTCTCCTATTTTCATGAAAATTTGCAAAGCTCAAAAAAAATTATTTTTGATTATCTAAAGCTAGAAAATTGCCCATCCAATTAGATTATCTAATCAATCAATACACATACTGAGTAAGTCCATATATGTGAAAGAAATTCATGAAGAATGAAAATAATCTCTTGATGATTAGTGTTAGATGAATATCATACTTTAAGAATAGGTGTAATAAAACCATCGGTATAATCATGTTTGAATCGATTTGGTCATTTATAATGAATAAAATTAATAAGAAGATCTTTAATATGACTGCCATCTTGATCTTGATCAGTCATAATTATTAATTTTTCATCATGTAATTTTAACAAATCATTTTTATTAGCATATTTTTCTCCATAATTTAAACCAAGAATTTTAGTTAATTGTGAATTATATAATAGAGTTTTGTTTTGTTTGAAGAAAAATACTTGCTGATTGATATCTACTTCGATGAATGTCATTGTTCAATGACATTGTTTATTATCAATAATATTGACTAAATCGAATAGAGAAAATGAAAATGTGATAGTTTTGAATAATATAGATTGTTTTACCAAGAATTTCATCAAAGATTTTATCAAGATGACATATATAAGCAATTTCATTTTTGATAATTTTCGGTCCTTCTTCAGCTTTTTTTATCAAGAATTCACATTTCCTATAAAGAATAAATGTAAAAGAAATTTGAAGAAATAGAGAATCACACTTCATGACATGGCTTATTTCAATCGATATATGTTTCAGATCGTTTAAGAATCTGATTAAATGGTTCGAGAAGTTAATTGGTTTCTTCATCTTTATTTAGTGCATCGCTGATGGAATTATTCATTGAAGACGACATGATGAAAACAACGTCTTCAATAAAAATAGCGTTTACAAACAAGTATAACGATAGATACTTGTTTGTTGTTGCACCAAATCTAAAAACGAATAATAGTTAGATGTGAAACGAATTTTGTCTATTTCTCTCTGTTTAAATAGTGATGTGACACATTGTTCTAGTCTATATTTTATTCTCTCTTTTCTCTGTTCGAATATGTCCTTGTAGTCTATTATAGTATAATCACATAATATATACCTCGATTTGTCTACTCTTTTCTATTCTTTATTAAAACATATATCGTTAATATCATCATCTCGTCTATTCTATATTTGCTTTTGATTGACCTGGTTTTTTTCTTTTCTTTGTACTTGTTATCCATAGATATCGAATCCTTGATTTATTGTCGTAAATAATATCAATAATGCGCACTTTATTTACATAGAAAATTTTTAAAAAAGTGATTATTAATTATTGATTAAACTAATTAATTTTCATCTGACATAGAATGAATTCTTCATTAAGAACATTGTATTTTTTTAATATTTAGGGCATACAAACATTAGTGCCATCGTTATCTTATTTCCGCATAGAAAGCTTGAAAAAATTTCGTTTTTTTTTTTATGCAGTGATAGAGAAAATAAATTTCTATTTGTTTTTCTGCTATTTGATCAATCTTCACTTAATATCAAAATAAAAAGAAAACAGTTTGATAAGAGTTGTTTTTGTGTAAAACTAGCTGATACCATTAGATCATAATGGATGGAGCATATTAAATGATCACATTTTGTATTTCAGTTTTCAAACGCTTAATATGTTGTATGAAAAAAACACCAAATATACTAAAAGATGCAGTATAGAAAGCTCGACACTTTACATACGATAATTTTCTTTTTTTTTCTTCCAAGATTGTTCCATATGAATAAAAAAGGTTCGTCCATAAAATCTATTTTGAACAGGTTAAAAATACTTCTACAATTTCTCTTTATCTTCCAATAACAACTATTTAGTTAAAAAAAAATCATGAAAGGAATCATCTCATGTACTTTTATAATTTCTCCTCTGCTCTCTTACCAATTATGAAGTAATAAATAACTAATATTTCGTCTAATTTTTCATTTTTTACGCCATGCTCCAGATGAATTATGAAGGGTTTTTTTACAAATGAATTACAAGTAGTAATAAATGTAAGATGTAACCATCACATATCGAGTTCATTTCCACAAGGAGTAAAGTCAGTTTTCTTATCCTCATTTCTTCCGATAGAAGAACAATCAGCTTTGACCAAAGATAAAAAAATAACTTGTTTAGGTATTTCCGAATTACAATGGTATAACTTATATTTAAACATTATTTACTATTCAATGTCATTTATGTACTAGGTTTGTCCAATAGATTGTGCTGCTAAAATTCCCACACTTTCTCGTGGATCAATACATGATTTAAGTGATTTAAAATACATCATTTTTTTCAAATGTTCGTTTATCCATTTTCTCAAGATCTAATTTTCCATTTATAGTTATATAATTTCTAATTAAATCATCTAAATGTTCTGTATAATCTACTATGCTTTATATTATCGTATCATAAGACATTTTTTCCAAACTTTTCAGAAGATACGACAAAATCGATATTTAAATTTAATCAGTTTTTTTTGTTTTCATAACTAATATATAAATAAATATTCTTGAAAATAATATTACCGATGATTGTATGAGTTCAATGGTTATATGATCGATCATAACAAAAATTTAAACGCTCAAAAAAGTGAAAGCTGAAAATATATGACAGTATTATAGGGCAGATGCTAAACAACTAGTAGTTTGTAATTGTTAATAGCAATGGCGGATAGTTACTATATGAGAAGTCTTATTCTATAGAACGTGGATCAATGACTTTTACAAACTATTTATGGAAATAAATTTCTCACTTAGGAATGGTTGGTTTCAATTACCAACAGTTAAGTCATTATGTATATCATCTCATAGTTAAATCCCTTTGAATTGATATAAAGAAACACAATATTACAAGTAACGCTCGTCGGTACGATTCGCTTGACTCTCGATTAAAGAGTATTCGATTATTCTTTACCAATGCTTGCTAGTGTCTTTTTTGGGAACTCGTCTTAAATACCGGCATCCATATAGAAAGATTGTCAACGCAATCCCTGCGGGATTGAAATGTAAAGTACGATTTGGCTGTTGATACCGTAAACTAGGCAATTTACTACTGTGTCTATCAGATCTTTGACAGAAAGAGAGACATTTCTAAGATGCATGTTACGTTTGTGTAGAAGGTAAACTGGTAGGCAATAGATCCAAGTTTCTGCCTACTCATCCTCACCTGCTTCCTTTCTATCGTATTTCACAAACCACAGTACATTATTACTAGTAACGAGCCTTCTGTAAAAACATCATGACTTTTTATTTTCACTGATGACTTTTCAAAGAGAATCTTAATAACAGGTACACTGAAAACAAAACAGGTGTCAGGCGAAACTTGTAGAGTTTCGCAGGTATTTAATGTATTCCAAAGGTTACCGTACAATTATACGAAATCCGTACGAGGTTTAGTAATATACAAGATTTTGTTTAAAACCTTTGATAAGTGCTAGAACTTGAAAAGGTTTCGTCGAAAACCCTTTATAATTGTTCTAGCTTAGAAGAGTTTTGTACAAAACACTTTAAGAAAGTTGAAGCAAAACAAAAAGGTTTTGTATCAAACTCTTTATAATTTTTAAAACTTAGAAAGCTTTCGTATAACATCTTTTATAAAAGTTGTAGCTTAAAAAGGTTCTGTATAAAATCTCTTTTGACATTTTGTAATCGAAAAGATTTCCTAGAAACCTGTCAGTGATATTGTAGACAAAAGGCTTTGTACAAAACTGTATTTTTTTTTGTACATCTATCCTATCGACAGATGTTGACTTACCAGAAAGCCATCCGGTCGAAATCCTTTCATCCGTTGACCTATTTATCGTTTAGTTTACTATCCAGCTTCGATATTTTATCACTGTTATTTTTGAAGTCATCCGTTTTCAACTCGACCTTTTTTTAGGAAAAGAAACAGAGGGGTGTCACTAGTAAGGCAATAACTTGAAACATTTTTTTTGAGAAACCATCGTATCTATTTATTCAACATGTTCTTTTGAACTTAACGGGTGATCCATAATGAATGTCCACTTTTTGTATTTCATATTTTAATCACCAAATAGGTTGTTTTAAAAAAATAGAATATACTACTAGATGCAGCGTGAAAAGCTCTGCAATCTACCTAGGAAAGCTTATTTTATTTGTCTAGGTTTTTGTTTTCAAAATAAGCAAAATTCTATGCGACCAATTTTTGACGTTGCGAACGATATAACTTTTTCGTTACTTTTTCTTATTTCATTTTTTCATCACCTCATATGTTTTATTAAAAAACAAAACAAAATACACCACAAGATGCAACATAAAAAGCTCTACAATTTAGAAAGAACAGCTTATTTTACATATGCGCCTTTGTTTTTCAAAATGGACAAAATTCGACACGATCAAATTTTGACGCTACGAGGAAGATCATCTTTTGGTAGACGACGAATTCTTTTCCTAATTTCATCAATTAATGTATCATAATCTTTAACTTTATTCGATTGCATATTATTTGTAATAGCATCCGATACGTAATAATCCAGAACATTGAGATCAGGACTGTTAGGCGGCCATTTGTGATTGCCTATAAATTGGATGAAATTTTTTTCACACCATGCCAACGATTCCCGATGTATATGCGGCGCGGCATTGTGTTGTTGGTAGATGAAATCTTTGCCTAACAACCGTTCATTTTCAGATTGTGCATGTGGAAGATTATACAAATATGTCCACAGAGGAATTTTGTTCACAGTTATTAACTTTACTGAGAAATTCTAATATGTGTAAATCACATAATCGCTTGTTGTCATTTATAAGTTCAATACTTCCAACACCAAATAATACCCAGAAGAAAATAGAAGATCTTTTAGAAAAACTAGAGATCGAGAATATTACTTTCAAGAAATATGTGTTATGCGCAAATTGTAACGATAATATATCATTTACAAAACCTTTTTGTTCAAAATGCTCGTCCAATAATACTAAATCTTTTGCTATCGCTTATGACATGAATGTAGAAGAATATATTTAAAAAAATTATACACGTCTGAAGATAGAGACGAACGAATGTCGCTATCAACTTCAGACAATGTACGATGGAGATGAAACTAATGATATAGGGTTTAATCGATTTTGTCAACAACTATTACAACATAATTTAAACAAAAATTTTATAACATTTTTATTGCATCTCGATGGAATTAGTTTATCAAAATCATCCAAAATGAAGATGTGACTTTTTAGCGAGTGTTTGATCGAATTAAGACCTTAATTAAGATATCATCGCTATAACAATATATTATTTTTGTTTTGGTTTGGTTACGATGAACCAAATATCAGAATCTGGTTGCGCAATTGCATCAATTCCATCAAACTGATAAAAATGAAAGGTCATATATACCCTCAACAGATTTTTTCGGATTCAATAGATTTATGAGAATTACTAAAAAGTAAGATATACTATATTTGGTTCAGAATTTCAAACTTTGATCCATCTTGAAACTATGCTGGAGAAGTCAGATAATTTGAGAAAGACTGTTAAAACTGCTCTAAATGTTTTCGTTATATTAGGGACTTTGAAAAATATAGCCTGTAAATCATAAATATCTATGGAATCGTCTCATAGGCGGCTTCATATAAAAGACCAGATGATCCGTTGCCTTTATTAAAATATTTTCATATTTACTTTTTTAAGTAATAACTAACGATAGATATCAATAATAAAGTATTTGTTGGTTTGTTTTGGTTTTCAATATATATACATTGATTCGATAACCATATTTAGAATAGAAAAAAAAAATTGAATTATGATTAGTTCATATTAAAGGTATTAGAACAACAGAAGTTTTCACCATTGTTCACGTAGATAAAAATAAATAATTACCACGTATAAACCTAATTCGAAAAACAATAAGTCTAAACAAATTTTTAGGAAGTTGATATAATTTTAGATGTATGCTGGAACATGATTTTTATCATCTTATCTTCATATCCCTTAGTGCCTCCTAAATGTTTAAATGTTTAAATGATTAATTTATTTTCTGACGGATGCAAATAAATTTATTCTCGCATATTTAGTATGATTTTCTATATGATATATTGAATAATATTCTTATTCTATTTGTTTTAGGAATAATCATACATGACGATCATCGTTTTGATATCAAGTTTTTATCAATTACCGGTGACTCACGTGCTCTAAGAAATATACTTAACTTTATTGGGCATAATGGCTATTATTGTTGCAATTTCTGCTATACACGTGGTGTACACATAGACAAAAAACGCCAATACTTCTATAGAAAAAATACCCCTCTTCGTAGTAACGAAAAATATTACAAACAATCTGAAGAAACTGAAAAAACTAAAGAAAATATTTATGGACATAAAGGTAAATTATAGCTCCAACATTTTTTTAATAACATGAGTGTCGAAATTACTTTTCACATTGTCCATAGCGATACAACTTGGCCTGTCTATACTGAAAATAGCTTTATACTCGACTTTTTATTTACCAAAAAAATATAAACATCAATACAAAATGCTGATTGTAAATATCAACAACACTATTGAAAAATCTTCTTGCTAAATAATTTTCATTCGTATCCATCTATCGATTCTGTCAAATCATCTTTTTTCAATTCAACATCATCACTAAAATAAAGTTTGCCAGAAAAATCATTAAAAAAATCTTGATGACATAGAGGAGTCTCAGATGGTGACGGCGGTGATGGTGTTGGATGTTCTTGGATAGGTTCAAGTGTAATACTATTTGTACTACTACGTCGACGTGCACGTCGAAATCGTTCTAATGCTGAACGTGTAATACGTCGTGTCAAACGATGAGCTAATTCTCGTTCTGTTTCTGCTGGATTAGTATTTTCATCTTCGGTTGCTGATGATGATGCCTAATCAGAAAATAAAAATAAATTTGTTTAAGCAAAAAAAAAAACAAAATTATTTGTCATATACTTTATCATAAGCTAAATATGAATATTTTTTTAATAGATCAAAACATGTTTGTAATTTCTCCGCTTCTTCTTTTTCACAATTTGTTCCTTTTTCTTGAATTAATTGTTCGACAAATTGAATAGCATTTACATGTTGATCAAGTTGAAGAAAAAGAAGTACTAATTCATCTGCTTGTAAATATTTTTTAGGTGCATAATTAACTATATCGACAGCAAATTTAATAGATGGATATTGATTAAATAATTTCGTAAGTAAATCTTGCATTGATGGAATCGACTCATCAATAGATATGAGATAATCCAAACATCGTTTTGATGAATCTAATAGAAGATTATATATTATGACAAGACTGAATAATCCGAAGCATTCATTCAAAAAAACGCAAACTAGTTTCAGAGGACACTAATGGTTTTCTGCAGGAAGAATATTTAACTAGAAGGCGTATTGATACAATATGCTCTAACTTACTCGGATCCACTGTGAGTGTTGTTTTACTTGCAACATATACAAATCATTAGAGCTTGAAATTCTAAGTCTATTAGAGCCCACACGGACGATGGAACCTCTTCAGATACTAAAAAGCTTTTGAGCGGAAATTTTGCCCACAGACAGAGAATGTATAGACTAGAAAAACCCTTGGAGATATAGGCCCAAGTTATGATTCGACTGAGATATCGACTTTTTACTACGATCTTTCTATAGGACTCGACTTTTCCGGTAACATCAACATTTCAGGTCAAAACTCGAAACTTTGATGTTACCGGAAAAGTCGAGTTACACAGGAAGATCGTAGTAAAAACTCGATATCTCAACTAAATCGCAACTTGGACCCATATTCTTCTAGAGTTTTTCTGGTCTATACATCCCCTATCTGTGGGCAAAATTTCAGTTCAAAAGCTTTTTAGCATCTGAAGAGGTTCCTTCATGAGCCACTTTGGAAGAAATATCAAGAAGACAAAAAGCGAAAATTTTTTAGAGTTACCCACTCTGAGCCAAAATCTATACAAAATAAATATTTAGAAAATGAAATCAAATGTAAGTCTGTCACATATTTTGAATTGATTAAAGCCATCAAACATTACCACAAAGTCATTTAACGTCATTTTTTCGAACATTCATTTTGGCTCAAAATGAGTCACTATAAAAATCTTTGCTTTTTATCTTCTTGATATTTTTTCTACAATAGCTCAGATTGTATTCTACTAATATCCATATGAAAGAAAAGAGTTGGTTTTACTACTCTTACATTGTTGATAAGGTCATGAGAGTTGTATCATATACAACTGTTCGTATTTTTTTGTTGTCCAGTAAAAACTTGGAACAAGATATCATGTCAAGAAAAACTTGTTTAATTTACCTGTTTGTAAAAGACATGAAGCAACTTCATAATAAGCATTAACTTGACGATAGATAAATTCAGCTAAATCTAAAGCACCTGATCGTTCAACAAGTTGAGCCATTTCAAAAGAACAGGTCAATCTATAATGAATGAAACATAGAAGATATTTCACATTGATTTCTTTTTTATGAAGAAAAAAACAAAATCGGTAAACCTTTCTTCGGCTATCCATTTATAAAGAAGTTCAAGATGATTTTCACTACATGCTGCTTTAGCACATTCTAATGATATAATCATATCAGGTATAAATGGTGCTTCAAGAGCTGTTTCAGCTAATACTTTACAATGGAAAAGCCATGGGCTAATATCTTCATTTGATGGTTTCTTAAGTGCTAAATTTCAAAAAATAAATATTACTTATATTCATTATTTTATATTTAACCTTTAAATTTCAATAATGTTTCCATATTTCTTAATACTCCTTTAGGACTACATGCTGCTACATACGATGCTTCTTTATAATTTCCTTTATCTATCATATCCATAAAAATTTCAATATGATCTAATATTACTCCTGCTTCTTTATCATAAAATGATTCATTATCAATATCATCATCATCATTTTCACCTATGAATAATCAATAATTAGATTTTGTTGATTCTTTTTGGATGAAAAAAAAAATGGAACAAAAAGTGTACTTTTTGGAAAAATATTCGATGATTCATATATTGCATTCATTAGAACATCTTCTAATAAAGTTGAATTAATATTCATTATTGATGATGTTTGTTTTTCTTCTGTAAATTTTTTAATATTTCTCCATGCAAGATGATATAAACGAATACGATTACGTAATGTTAATCTTTGTTCACGTTGTTTATCTAAATCAGATAGTTTTTGTTCAAATAAATTTTGCATTTCAATTCGTTTTTCTTTTTTTGTATATTTAGTTGAAGAATTTTCTTCAAGACGTAAATATTTATCTCGAATAAAATCATGATATTTTTCTAATTCTTTTAAATCTGTTTCTTCAGCAAATGTTAAACCTATTAATAGAAATCTATAGAATATTGATAATAAATAATAGATGAAGTTAATTTAAACCTGGTATACGTCGATGACCAGTCCGTGGTTGTGTGAAAGTATTGGTATTGTTAATAATTTCTTTAGATGATTTTGTTTCATCGTCTTCTATTTGAGTTAATACTTCAGCAATTTCTCGTTCAATTTGTTTATTTTCTTGTTCTATAATCGCAAGTCTGTTAATGAAATTTAATAGAATGTTTTGTTTTTTCAAATGTTTGATTGAACATACTTATCTTCTAATTCCATACATCGTTTTTGTCGAAGTAAAAATGTTTTTGGTTGTAAAACAAGACGATGAAGATCAGCACTCATTGATTCTACTTCATCGGCACCAGATTCAAGTGCACCAATACATTCTTCATATTCTTGTTTTATGGCTCGAAATAATGGACGATAAAGAGATGATTTTTCAATAATCTTTGTAATGAATAGAAATATATTATGATTTTGAATTATTTATTTATTTATTTTTTGATAAAATAAATAAAAGAAATTTACTTTTTCAAAAGCTAATCGAAAAATTGCAAAACGTTCTTTTGATGGAATACCACCAACTTTAGCCGATTCATCTTTCATAAATTGATTTAATTGAGTAAAGAAATTACGATCTCGTGTTGTTAATGGTACAGTATCATTTGATTTTACATCAGATAAATCAATATCCATGATTGTCTTTTTAGTATAAAAATAATAAAAATATCATACAAAATAACCTGTATGAAATTCTGCCATTTATATCATTTCATTGGAAGAGGTCACCAAGTAACAATATAATCCAAGACTCATTATCAATAATCATTCTAAATTGATGAATTTTTTTTAAATTAAAAGTATTTTTTTAATAATAAAATTGAAAAAATTTAGTGACATCTAAAGAAAATGTATTGATTGGAAAATAATTGTACCATCATCTATTGACATATGATTCAGATTGGACACAAGTTATCATTAACACGTAGTCTTCCACTATACTATTTTAATACCTTTTTTTGTTTTTATTGAAAAATTTTACTAACAATGTCTAGCTGGTGGAATAAAGCAGGTGCGAGTAATTTTACTCGTGGTTTAACTTCCATAACTGGACAATTATCAAGTAATCTTAAAGATATTTTAACAGAAGCTAGTGAAGAAAATTATGATCCAACAGCTGAATTAACTCGAGCTCGACAAAATATTGAAGATCTTGACTTACGAAAACAAGCATTAATGGAAGAAGTATGAATGAAAATGAATTTATTTATTATTTTTTTAATATTACAATTTAATATGAAAATTTTCTATTTTAGTGTGAATCATTAAAAAAACAATGTGATGAACTCACCATGCAAAAACAAGCCGTAGAAATTAAATCTGACATGTTATTAGCTGAGAGTCGTCGTATTATCGATGAAAAAGATGTAAGTTTATAATAATTTTGATTGATGATACTGAAATATTTTTATTCGTACATTTCGATTGTGTGTATAAAACCTGCAGTCTTAATTATATATGTCAAAGAATTCAACAAAAAGTAATTGAATTATTCTCTGTTGAGAAATCAATCATGAAATTTGTGCATGAATTTCGTATCCACATTCTCCTTTTTACGTGTGTGTGGACATATACCTGCAGATTCTGTAGATCTCTAGTACGAAGTTTATCTCCGGATTTTTTAGACGATATCATCTTATTTCTCACTTAAAGTATCATTATCAAATCATTAAAATCTAAACAGAGATGGACGAGTTCGAGTAATGACCCGAACTCGACAATTGGGTAACGCATTGACTCGATTGTTTGACTTGAGTCATTTATTCAAAAAAGTTTTCATTTGCACCTTTAAAAAAGAAACCTTGATTTTTTTAAGATTAAATTATCACTTATTTAGAAATTCAGTCCTAATTGTATCCGAATAATTTTTTCAAGAGTTTTTTTTTTGACCTATGGGGATTCAACTAGTTGTAAATGATAGCCTATACGTATTGTCGAATATGTACATTCTTTTTTCTCACATTTTGGTTTCGACTCATCTCTGAATGATGTATACGTGTATGTAATAAAATGAATGAAAACTTCGTATTGCATCACATATCATATTCTTTGTCACGCTACAATATAATTGTTGTGTAACAGCGTTTTGATAATCAAAATTTGCCATCCTTCATTTCATATTACCTATTCCCTAACAAGGTATGTAAATGTGCGATCTTCATCTCATCCTTAAAAAAAGATCAATACCGATCTCTTAATAAGCTTGCTAAAACAAATATGTGTTGCTGGCATGTCAGCAGCACCAGATGAACATGTGTTTTTTTTTTCAAAGTAATCTTTTAATAAGATCGAATTCTTCACGCTTTACAAAAGCTAATATTTCTACTCTAATATATTATAAGTGCAATAAGGCATTTGGTTTAAATGGTAATAAATACTTTTTACTGTGGTGTGATGCTGTATAAAAAATAGACGAGTTAATTTCATTGTTCTTATTTTGTTGATTAATTTAGATTAGTCGTGGGATTTTTTTTTAATGTGTAACCTATTTTGATTTTTGTGCTTAAAAACTAGGAACTACATCTCGTGTATTGAAAAACCTTGTTGTTGACGTTCTTTATAAACATAATCAAAGAACGAAGAAATGGTAAAGATACCTTGATTTGCCTATCCCTGAATCTAAACAATATGATATTAGAGTATTTACAACGAAGAGATTGACAATATTTTTGTGTTTATTAGTTTCACCGTAGACAATTAGAAATTAAGTGACTAACATTTAGTTTTTATTGATAGACATGAATTCAATATTACTGATGTCTTCTTGAATATATTGTTCTTAATTTTACAATAAATATTAGTATTCATGTGAGCATCAAATATAAAAAAATATACTATCTAAATAGATTTTGCTATTAGAGTCTCACTCGCGTTGAAACTTTTTCCAATTCGGATACAGAATAAATTTGATGGGTTCCATTATAGTATTTATATTAATATTTAGATGGAAATAATATAGTAAAGAAGAATTTTGTTCTTGTAAATAAATTAAAATTTCCTTTTCTATGAAAATGAATAAAGTTTTAAAAAAACCGAGTTAGTTGTAACTATGTGTATCTAATATTGCCATAGATTCTAACTCGACGAGCTCAATTTGTCAATTATTTTCCTTATTTTAATTATTATTTATTATATTTAGAATGAATTAAAACGTCTCCGAGAAAATACAAGTACTGTTACATGGAATAATCCTAATGATTTAAGTAATACTTGGACGGATATTCTTGAAGGTTAGATTTTAAATTTAAATATAATTTTTTTTTGATTATTTAAATATTATTTAGATGATCAACCTGAAATAAATGAATATCTTAAATATCAACGAACAATACGTGAATTAAAAGATGAAAATAGTCATTTACGAGATGAATTAGCAAACTTACGAAAATCATTGAAATCACAATCATCAGAAAAAAATCTAGTATAATATCATATAATTATTTTCTTTTAGAAAACAAAAATAGAGATTTTATTTTTCTATTAAAATTTAGTATCGACGAGAAGATGATATAATTCAAATTGAACAAATGTATGCAGGACAAATATCTAAATGTCGTCAAGAATATGATGAACAAATTCATAAATTACAATTACGTATTAAAGAACTTGAAGATTGGAATGAAAATCATCAAGGTTTGATTTTAATTTAAAAGATTTTTTCTTTTGAATTCTTTTTTTTTTTTTTATTATATAGAAGATGAATTACGAAAAACAATGGAAGTACAAAAAGAAGTTGTATGTTTAATATTTAATTAGAAAATACAAAATATATTTATTTTATATTTCAATAGGATGACGTTGATAAAGATCTTCTTTCACAAGAACTTGAACAAGCAAATAATAAATTAAATTGGTATAGTGAAAAATTAAAAGAATATTTAAATTTACAAACAAATATGGATTCATTAATATTACAAAATAAACAATTAGAAAATGATTTACAATTAGAACAACAAAATAATAAATTAAATTTAGAACGTTTTAATCAATATGAAGAAAAAATTAATCAATTACATTCGAATAAAAATCATCAAGAACAACAAAGTAATAAATAATTATTATTTATTTTTATTTATTTATTTTTTTAATACTTTAGCTGATACTAATAATAATAATGATGATGATGATGATGATTTAAATCGTCTTCTTAATGAAGAACGACAACGTTGTGATGCTCTTGCAGCTGATAATGAAACAATGTTTCATCTTCTTGAAGAAACTCGTTCACAAAATTTACAAATTGAAAATGATTTAAAAGAAAAATTTCAAGATGATATACGAAATAAAGAAAAACAAATTGAACAATTTATTTCTCAAATAAATTCTCTTCAAGATCAATTTCAAATACAAATTAATCTTCAAGTTAGCTATTTATCATAATTAATTCTTTATATTTTCTTTTTCCCATCTTTAGAGAAATGAACAAGAAACTTTCGATAAACAAATGAATAATCTTGAAGAAGAAATTCAAACAAAAGAAAAACAAATTCATATGGAGGTTAATAAATCAACATTGATTTTTTATCAGACATATTTTTTATTGTTTGTCTTTAGAGAAGTGAACATGAAAAACAGATTAATCAACTAAATGAAGAAAAGAATCATTTAATATCTCAAATAAATAATCTTCAACAATTTAAAGATGAACAATTAGCAAAACAAATGGAGGTTAGAAAAAAAAAAAAGAAGTATCGATTTTTGAAATTATTTTGTTTTATTTATTTATTAGGAAGAAGAAAATCATTTAAAAGAATTTCATATACGAGAAATGCTTGAAAGACAATTAATTGAACTTAATGAAGATTTACAAACAATAGAAAATGAGAAAAATGAACTTAATAATCATATTGATGAACTTAAAGAGCAATTACAATCAAAAGATAGACAAATTCAAATAGCTGAAGTTAGTACATGATCATCTTTTATTCTTTCCAAAAAAACTGAAATCTATAAGATCAAACATGCTCTATTTTAAGAGCTGATCTTTTCAAAACTATTCAATACTTTGAAAGAATAATTTTCATATCGAACCATTAATTCTTTTACGAAGTTCATCTGAACTTTAAAAAATCTAGGTTTTCCTTTCTAGAAGTATACATTAACATTTTAAATTATAAAACTGTATACAGAAACATCATAAAAATAGTATACAAATACAGATAAATCGAGTTTAGCTAAGAAATGTACAGTTTCAGTTTACTGACCATTGTTTCAGTGCAGCTATTGCACACGAATATAACTAGTAAACTGAACAATTGAGTTTTATATTCTTTTTAAACGAAATAAATCCTTCAGAGATAAAAAAAAGACATTAACAATAGTTTTACGATGTAAAATGAATTTGATAAAATGTTCAATTTACATTTTTTTTACTGGCAGATGTAGAATTAAAAACGAAAAGTTTATATGATTAGTTCTTAAATAGTTCAAGCGATTTATATATTTTTTAAAAATCAAATTATGGTATATTCTTTGAAATTTTATTTTCTTGTAATTAAGTTTACAACAAATTTTCAAAGCCTTTAAAAAAATACTATAGAAAGTTTCTTTTCGAATTCATTTATTTCCACTATCGTTTCTTATTTTGAATTCAACCAAATCTTTATATATGTCTTATATATAGATAGATTTTTATT